GCTTGCTAGGCAGGTGCATGGCTCCAGTCCTTTTTGCTCAGGTTATTTCAGATAGGGTCTTGATTTTTTTGCCCAAGCTATCCTGGACCAGACTGCAATTCTTCTATTTTATGATTCTCAGCAAAGCTGGGATAACAGCTATGTGCCACTGCACCCAGGTTTTTTTCCCCTTGAGATGGGCTCTCACAACTTTTTTGCCTGCTCTGGCCTGAAACTACAGTCCTCCCAATGTCAGCCTCCTACATAGCTGGAACGACAGGTGCATGTTACTGCACCAGCTGTTGGTTGAGATGGTATCTGTTTGTAATGCCAGGGAACAAACCCAGGGCCTTATACATGCCAGAGAAGTGCTCTACCACTGAACCACATTCTCCAACACCAGGGACTTATTTGAAGAATGAGAGAACCAGAACCTGGCATAGGGGTGTGAACGGTCCGAGGTTAGCCCCCAACAGAACTGTGACCAATCTGAAGATGAACTAAAGCAAAAAAAGGCAAGGGGCATCCTTAAGTGCTAGAGCACAAGGCACTGAGTTCAGTACCATCAAAAAACACAAAAAGAATCAGAGACACAAGGAGTCTCTAGGTATTTCCTTCACAGATTTAGCAATTATAAAGAAAAGATCTTAATATCATTTTTCCATTAAAAATAAAGCTTTATTACTAATTATCTAGAGAAGAGAATAAAGAAAAAACATAATTAACCTAAGGAAAACATCAGTAACCTTGTATTTATTTCTTTATGACCTTTATTTACATTTTATGTACCTTTTATTTTATTATAAATTATAGAGCAGGTATCCAATGAGTCCAGCAGAGTAAATGATCACACATTATCATAAAGAAAACTAAAAAATGTTGTAATGGCTGTCATCTGGTATTGATTAACAGAGGCAGGCACTTTGCTAGAACTTTCCATATATCAATTGTTTAATCTCCATAGCAACTTATATATAGTAACTACTTTTTTATGTTTCCATATCACAGGTGTGAAAACTGAGGCTGATAGAACATATACACCTTGCCCATGGCCACAGATCAAGGAAACACAGAGCTTGGACTCAAACCCAGTCCCATCTGCCTCCAAAGCTTGTTCTTACTTTGTGCTCAAGACTCTGGATTTAGCTGTCCTTGTGGCCAAAGACATCACCAGTCACATACATCTTGGCTTCTTTAGATTGGACTTCCGTGTTCACCTCCTCAATATCAGGACTCATTATAGGTACCATCTTTTATTTGGCCTATACAAGGATAGGTCTCTGTTCATTGATTACCTGACAACACTGATTTATGGCTCTCTCATTGGATCTTTGATCTACCACATGTAAGCCAACATTTCCCATTTGACAGTTCTTAAACTATTCATTTATTCTGAGCCCTTCATAGGATATTACACATATGATGCTCTGCTGTTCTTTCTCTCTCTTTCTTTCTTTCTCTCTCTCTCTCTCTTTCTCTCTCTCCACACACACACACACTTTCTTTCTCTATACTACACTCTATTTCTCATCTCTTAAGTTAATAGAGGTAGCATCTTCCACAGTGGGTGTAAGAGCTTTACATTCTCTCAATATATGGATCCTACTTATGACCCCTTTTCTTGTCTCTTTCCAGCTATTCAGTTACATGTTCTCAGTGAGATTCCATTCCCTTACTTCTAAAATATTCATGAGATACTGTCTTGGGACCCTATTTTCAACCAGTACTTCCAGCTATGGTCTATAACATAATCCCAAAACTTTAACTAGTATCACTAATAACATTTTCACAATCATTGCAGTTACTGAAATCTTGGTATGGTTGATTGAAATATAACTCCTTTTGTTTGCTTCAGAATTATAATAATACACTTCTTTCTTTTAGTTTTATTTTAATGCTATAATTTGGACAATTGTCCAACAGAATTGCTGGAAAACCATCTGGAAGATATCAATTTGAAAGAACCAAATACTAATTCTCTTATTAGAAGAGAATAATAACATTTTTAAAGTTTCAAAATTATATTCATAGTGAAAACATCCAGCATGAAAGTCCTTTGCTATAAAAATGTCTGCAATTATTAAACATAATCTATATTATAAGAGATTTACAAATTGTAAATTCCACATGGAAATGTATTTTTCTACCCCTCAGCATAACCCTCAAGTAACATACCATTAATTCTACCCTTGGGGTATCATTGACATTTAATTTATCACTGATCTGTTGGAAGAAAAACTATTTCTCCTTAGGACATGTCCAAAAACAAAAAAGACTAGTATGCATTATAAAATGTACTCATTGTGTTCATCGTGGGAGGAAGGTTTTTTCAAGAGAAGTCACAGAGTCAATTATTGTCTTAACCCTAAAGAAGACAAAGACCATGAGTTTTTAGAAATGCAAAACCTAATACTGAAAATACACATTTTTTACTTTCAAGTGACAAATCATCTTTCTAACCCTGTTCTATTCATTTAGAAGAAAAAGACGTCTCTTTTCCTGTTTTTTCTTCCTTAACTCTCCTCAAACTTCCATAGTCAGTCAGCTAAGTAACAGAGCAGTAAAGATCAATTGCCACCCCGCTCTCCCTCTCAGTGTGACAGAGCGACTGGAAAGGTACCTTTCTTGTGTTTTTATCTTCCTTCAAAAAGAAATTATCCTGCCATCATACCCCAGTAGCTCCTAAGTTATTTACCAATTGTAAACTTTAGATCCTGTGCTCTGGTCTGAGACAGTCTACAGAAAGTAAGTGGACATCCAAGTGAAGCCGAAGCCTGTTGAAGGGTTATAGACTGTGAAGCAGATTGCAGGCACCTAGCAAGAGTCCACCAGAGCACCCTGGGCAAGAGTTGGACCGTGTATGATAAGACCTGCTACCATTCAGCTGAACTACTTCCACTGCATCACAGACAAAAGCCTCAGGTTGATGATTTAAACTCAACTGTAGACACTATTACCAATTTCGGTTATAATACATGGGAATGTCACAATGAAAGTCCCTGTAGAACTATCTTAAACAAACAAAATGCCTTTTCTCAAAAATGGAGAACAGGGAGGTAAAATAGGCCTGCCTTGGAGTAGGTACTAGTGGAAGGGAGAGAACATAAGGAAAGGGTTTAGGAGGGTGAATGTGGTGGAAATGTATGAAAATGGGAAAATGAGACCTGTTGAAACTATTCCAGGAATGGGGGAAGGGAGAATAAAGGAGATGATAGAGGAGGTGAATTCAACTATGACATACTGTAAGTACTTTTGTAAATGCCACACTGTACTCCTAGTACAGCAGTAATATAACAATATAACAAAAACTTTAAAAAACAAACTGAACTGTATCATCACACAACTCAATGGCTACACAGACTTATAAAACTGGGCTGTATTTTCAGTAGCTATTATTATGTAGAATTAAGCAAGGACACTGAGCTGGCTCCAGAGCAGAATTTCTTCTACAATGGAGTAGAACGGCTACAGGAATTAACATGGAAAACCAGAGTTCTCTTCTTCACTTGGCTTCTAACCAGATGTGGGACTGTTGAGTCTCAATTTTTGCATCGGTAAAGGTTGAGGGTAAATTAGACAACTTCCCAAACACTTTGGAATTCTAATGTTTTAAATTAACTGCCAACAAGAATGTCAACAGGATCCAAGATATCCTAATGGTGAAAAGAGCACTTTCCTAGACCTGTGGTCTTTCCTCCAATGGAAAAAGCAAATACATATTCAAAAAAGACACCCCTTCCCCGGTAGACTTTTTCACGTGCAGTATTTCACAGGCACAACCATAAAAACAGCTGTGGAAGAAGACCATGAATCCTGCCTGTTCTCTGTCCCCAAAGGCAACAAACATGTTCTATAACAAATATGACTTGTTTCAGTACAGTGCGTGACGCACATTTCTTGGATTAACTTCCTGAGCGCTCTAAGTGTGATACACAAATAATACTAGTTGTGTATCTTTTACAGTCTGGAAAACAGTAAAAACCTCTCTTTAGGCAAGACAACATATGGAAAGGAGGACAGATGCACTTTCACGAAATGGTTAGCCAAGTGGTTGAAGCTGTGCCTGTTCAATGAGAAAAACATCTATTTATACCTGCACATTGCTCGTGAAGGGAAAGATGCTCGTGGTTATTATCTTTTCCAACACTTATCACAGTCTTAAAATGAAAATGTTCTTCCTTCAGGCTCAGTAATACATACACGCATATACACACATATTATGATAAATATGCAAATAACATCTTGCATTAACACAGAGGATGAAAGTATTCAGTAGAGATACTATTAGCTCATTAATCCTCAGGATATCCATGAAAGAGACAGGGAAAAGCAATAGTTGGCCAACTTTTTCAACTGATAGGAAAGAACATGGTATAAGCTGTCAGTTTAAGTCAAAATTTTCTTGTGAATTTTTTTGTAGGGCCTCCCAGAACACAGGAGTGCTACCTGTGAATCTAGACTGGCTTCTGCTATACTCTCCCCATAAAAAGATCATGGCCAGTGACTCATCCATTGTTTTCTTTTTTCCATGCTTCTTGTCCACCCTGGATTCTTCTAGCAATCTCCAGTCCATGGCCACTGATCTAATGGAGAAACTGCTTGCTGCCAGACTCAGGGAGCTTTCCAAGTGTCTCCTCCTTGCCTTCTACTCAACTTTCTCAAAGAGGAGCCTTTTAGATCTTCACTTCATGGTTTTATCCCCTTTCAATGCCAGTCTGACTACTTCATCCTCAACTTGAGGACTTGAGAAAGATGGGGCCCCTAAAAAAACCCCTTCTCCCACCTCCAACCTGTAGACCACTTGGGTCTTCATAATTTTGCCTGTCATGACTAAGTCTGTGTTCTGTCCAGGAAAGGAGATGGGATACTAAGTCAGTAATGACAGAACCTGGCTCCCTTAAGAAGGGAGCAGTTCCCCTCTACCCACCCAGTCAGTGTTCCAGGGTCTCTCGGGAATGTTCTCAAGAAAACCTCAGAGACCCTCTCTGTGCCACCAAGATGACGGAGTAAGAGGACATTACCATGAGAGCAGAGTAGGTATAGGGATAGTGGTAGGCCAGGTAGCAAACATCCTCGGTGTGCGGGAAGGTGGTCACAAAGGTGAGGGTGTAAAAGCACTTCCCAGAGGCTCTGCCTGCAGCTGCTGTGTTCTGTTGGTAATGATTTCTGAAAAAGAAGAAAAGGCAGGATGAGGGACGGAAAGATGGAGGCAAAGTCCCCAAGGACCCAGATGCTGTAAACTTCCTGTGTTGTGTACTGGAAATATGGCTTTCACTCAAAACACTTTTGTGGCTGAAGTTTAGAAAACAGAGAAATGGACAGGTGAACTTGCTATCAGATGTGAAGTCAGTTCAGTTATATGTAGGTCTGGACCAACTGCCACCCACCTATGGCTTATATGCTGGAGGCCTTTCCGTGCTAGGTCTGAAAACGAAGACTACCTGGTCATTTCACTAGAAAATAGAGCAAATTGTAAACAATTCATGCTTCCCGGGATTCTGCTGTAGACATGCTTCCAAATGTGGGTTCCCCCAATCCCTGTCTGTCCCCAGAGCCATACAAGGTGTGATTCCTTCCTTCCACTCCCACCTGCCAAATGGACTTATTAGTAAAAACTATTAAACACTGAGTTCCAACTCAATACTTATATCATCTTATGTTATTACAATAACCCATTATATGGATAAAAAAGTGAAGCTTAGAAAAACTAATTTAACCAAAGTCTGAAGGCAAGCAAGTGGTTGATACAAGGCTTGAACCCATATCCTGGAGGCCACAAAACCCTCTCTTTCCAATATGCAAGGCTTTCTTTCAAAGGAGTATATTTGTTACCCTAAATGTGACTCCACTTCTTAAAGCTTGAGAATACGCATTTTCCCTTATCAAAATGAAAAACCAATTTTGATACTTCAGAGAACAGTATCAAAGTAAATCGCACCCAGAAGTACACTCCAAGAAATATTTTCCCCACATGCTGCCAGTTCTGTTCTTGTCTTGTTCATTGATGTTGAGACAGCTGCACAGGCTTTCCTGAGAAATACTGTCATCACAGCCACACTACAATGCAAAAGGCACCCAACACCAAAACGTGCAGTCTCACCTTTAAACATATATACCATTGGCTTCCTGGACCATGTGTGTTTTTATTTTATCAGGGGAAAGATGTGTGGAGGAGAGAAATAGCAAATTATTATTACTGTGTGTACTTGCAAAATAAAAAATAAAAAAAATCAAGCCTATAGCTACTTGGGAGGCAGAGACTGGGAAGACCATGGTTCAAAATCAGCTTGGGCAAAAAGTTCACAAGACCCCATCTCAATCAATAAAAATCTGGATGTGTAGAGTGTATTTGTCATCCCAGCCAGGTGGGAAGCATAAATAAATACACAGTGGTCCAGGCCAGCCTGGGCATAAACACAATACGCTATTTGGATAGTAACTAAAGCAAAAAGAGACTGTTGGTATGACTCAGTTGGTAGAGCACAGACCAAGGCCTTCCTGAGTTCAAATACCAGTAGTACTAAAAAAAAAAAAAAAGCATCATAGGATACTCTTTTCTGATTTTTGCTGTCTTCATGCTACCCTCCACCAAAGCAAAACAGCAAACCACACAAGAAAAGAACTAATAGAAAAATCCACTATCTCACTCCTCGTGGTCTTGTGGTTTTACCGTTTTAATAAAATAAGGGATGGGAGTAGGAGAAGTGGGTGATACCCACCAACTGTGGGCTGATACATTTCACTTGTCCCAGATTCTTGGTCATTCTGGGGAACAGGGAAGAGCCCAGAACAATGCACATCCTAAGTGACCGTCCTACTAGATTTACAACACCACAACAGAACCTATTCCTGTATACTACAGAAACAGAGCTTCAACAGGGTGCCTCTCCCCATGGTGTTATCTAGATGCTGACACTTACTTGGGTCTATTTTTCTAGATTTCCCCCGAGTTCTGAAGTATCTCCACAAGCTAAGTCACTAGAAAGCACATGAAGGAGCCAGCGGCAGCTGAGGAGGACTGCAAACCCACGTGCGCTCACTTGTTCTTGCTTTTTTTCTTTTGTCATACTGGGGATTGAAGTCAGGGCCTCTACCTGCCTAGTCCTTTTGCTTTTAGTTTGCTTGTCAAATAGGGTCTCATACTTTTGCTCAGCCAGCCTTGGTCTGCCATCGTGCTACCTCCTCTCCCCCAAGTAGCTGAAATTACAGGCGTGTACCACCACACCTGGCCTTTTACTTTTTTTTAGACCAGGTCCTGATATATAAATGAGGCTAACCTCGAACTTGAGGTCCTCCTGCCTCAGCTTGCCAAGGACTGGTTCTATTCATTTTCTGAGTGCACTTGTAAAGGCCCCACTGCAAAAACACATTGAGTTTATACCTATGTTATCAACAAACAGGCACTGGTTAGTTATAGCTTCTTAGGATGAAGTGAAATGAGCCAGGGACAAGTGACCAAAGTTTGGGGGACTTGAGGGAGTGTTTCACCTGTAAACATGCACATGTAAATGCACTGGTTCTCTCGCGCGTGCTCTCTCTCTCTCTCTCTCTCTCTCACACACACACACATACATTCATGGATATAAAGGCAGGTGGAAACACGCATCCAGTGCCTCACTGTTCCCAGGTTCTTCACTTCTTCACCCACAAACAATGGAGACAGTATGAACCTTGACTGGAAAATAATAGAGGTCACTATGGGCCAAGGGGGTTGATCTTATTTGTTGTGGGTCTTGCTGCTTTGTAGGTTTCCTGCTGTACTATAAAGTACACTGAAGTCACATCGCAGGCAAATTTACCCTCCACTCAGCCGCAGGAAAGAGATGAGGTGAGTCAATGAAACCTCTGTATTTATCCTTATGCACTCACCACTCAAAACTGGGTGCGAGTAAGGACAGGTCAGTAGACTGAAAAGAAAAATAGCAGGGTGAATTTTTAGTTTTTGAGCTTCCATGGCCCTGGTGATTGAAGGACAAAATCCAAATTGCAGCCTTGCCCATCTGAAACCTGCCTCCTCACACTCCCAACACCCCCACAAACCCCCACACACACCCCCACACACACACCCCTCTCTCATGTAACCCTATAGCTTGGTGGGGTTAGCTGCCTATTGATAAGCCAGCCCTCCAAGGTGGTTGCATTCTGTTGCAATTTATGAAAACTGGCTGTCGCCTCAATTAGAATGAGTTTTGGCTAAAGGAGATTGTTACAACCCTAGTTTGGGGTCTAAACTCTAGCAGAACCTAAAGCAAATTCCAAACTTCCCCACTGGGGTCTCCTGGTGGCCATGGTGTAGCAAGGGCTGTCCAGGAGATGATTCTACCCAAAACCTTTCCTCTTCGGAGACCTTTAACCTTTCCCGGGATCTTCTTCACTGAGAAACGTCTGATAAATCTCTAAAGTGAAACTCTTGACTTGTGACAATTTGTCCATGATAGAGTGAGTTCTAACAATGAGTTACTTTTGATTTCTCAATTATGGAGTGAACAAATTGAGAGATGTTGCAAAGCAGTAACAGCCATCCTTCTATTTCAGATGCTTCTCTATTCTTCTTTTGCACGGAAAGCACTTTCTCTCTTCTTCATTTAGCCAAGTCCTGCCTTCAAAGCAATGCACATGTTTCCTCTTCCAGGAAGCCCTCCCTGATATTCCCCCTTCTGCATAGCTCTTATCATACTGTGCATCCCCCTCACTGCCAACACTTTATGACAAAAATAAGACTTACTCATTGGTGGGTCTCTATGTCTGACACTTATGCTTCATACCTGTTCAGAGCAGTTGTTCAGTTAGATTCTGTAGAATCAATGGAGCTGAGACTCCAAGAGAGATAATTAGGATGCTTCATATATTTTATCTCTAACTTTAGTGATACCATTTCAAGGTAAGTATTCTTATGCATAGTCCACATATGTGAACAACGAGGCTCATGGATGCCTAGAGAAATTCCAAACAGCAAGTGGAGTAAACAAGACTCAAACCCAAATGTAGGCTTAGTTAGCTCCGACATAAAGATTTCTTTCATTACATCATCTCTTAGGAATGGATAAAGAACAGAAGGTTTTTTTGGCCCAATTCAGCAAGCAAGAATTTAAAATCCTGACCTTCATACGTCAGGGCTGCTTACAAACATAGATTCTAAAATAGCAGCAAAAATGTAAAATAATCCAGACGAAAACCAGTGATCAACCTATGATGATTCTTTCTATCATTGGTATATTCAGTACCATTGAAATGTTTCTAGTAATTAACCATAACACCTGACATTCAGACACTATTCCTCGCTTTCCACGTTTTACCTCCTGACTCTTAATATTCAAAACAGCTCTGTACGGTAGACACCCATGTTATCCTGTTTTTATAGACAAAGCATCTAAGGTTGACAGAATATGGAATAAATTGCCCAAAGTCACAACAGAACTAAATATTGGAACTTGGATTCCAAGAGCTTTTTCTCCTCAACCTTCTCTTCCAGGTGGGAAAAAGCCTGGAAAAATGGGTGTGTGGTCAGATCTGCAGGACCCCAGATAGGTCACCTTGGGCCAAAGATGACCTGGGCTGCATAGGTCCAGCCACTCCACAACTAAAAGTCTCCCTTTTGCTTTCTGTTCCCTGGACCATTTATCTTCAGAAAGATCTGCATTTTTCCCTTGATAAAGCCTTCAATGAAGCAAGAAGAAAAGTACACAAATGCATAGTTATGAACTCAATCTATTTCCATTTGTACTTAAAGATACACTGGGAAGTCATTTTTTTCCTGTGTGTGCATGAAATTAGCAAACGCCAAGGCAGAGAGTGAATTAGATAATCTCACAATGACGATGGCCCTGTTTAACAAGGGAGCCTCATTTCTCTTAACAGGATCTAATAAGGCAGAGCAGCCAAGTCACCAGACTTCCCTGTGTCTGCAAAGTCTCTAATATTCTATATAGCACCGAATCTCTCTCCTGAGATCCCACAAAAGGATACATGATGGCAGAGCTCTTGTATGACATTCATCTTCATGAGTGAGCTGTTCCACCTCCTCTCACGAGCGGAGATAAATGTCAGAAGAGATCAGCCATCGTGTATTACATGGCGACTCAGAGAGTACAGCTTTCCTCCCTCTGCCCTTCAGCACCAAAATTACTTTAGACCAGAGCTGGAAGAGAATTTGAAAGGTAGGAGGCTGTGTGTGTACGTCAGAGGGAGAAGCAGGCCACAGGAAAGTAAATAAAACAGAAACTAAAACCTTTATGACAATCATGAAAAAATGAATCTTCCCATTATGTTCTTCCATCTTGAGAGCCACTTTTTATCTTCTAGCAGAGTGGTCTTTAAGGTGGGTGGGAGTCAGGGTAGAAGAGAAGGGGAGAAGGTACTGGGGGAAAGGAGTAGGAAATCAATTGTGCACAGAGAGAAAGGTATTAAAATTCCTCCTTAAATTTATAAATATCTAGGTAATAAGAAAGAAATTAAACTGTCTAAAGTTTAATATGGGGTGTGACCTGACTGGCCTTGTTCAGTTCATGTCAACATTCTGTGATGACTAATTACAAAACAAACTAGATTATGGTGCAGCAAAATCTTCCACTTGTCCCTGTTGCATTCCCAGTGGGCTATGAGAAATGCATTAAATTCTACATCTGCTGTTTTCCTGTGTCAGACAGTTAAGTCTCACAGGCTACAGAGAAGGTTTCAAGGGAAGGAGTTGGAATAACCAGTGCCTCCCACTCTCTCATTATTTGCTGTGAGCTTCTAGTAAGGTATTTAAATTCACAGAAGCTTATTTTTCATATATTTAGATTATATTATCTAAATTAAACTAAACCTTTCAATATAGACAATTAAGTCTTTTTTTAAACATCTGCTTAAAAGCCTTCAACTAATAACAACCTTATATTGCAAGTACAAATAACCAAGAAAAAAAGAATGAGTCTGGCTACCTCCTGCTCTTAGTCCTAGTTCTTTCTGAAGAATATGGATTGGAAGAGCTGGAGACATATCTGAAGTGACAGAGCACCAGACTAGCAACTGCAAGGCCTTGAGTTCAAACCTCAGTATCACCAAAAAAAGAAAGCATCAGGCACTGGCTCATCCCTGTAATCCCTCTACTCAAGAGGTAGAGACTGAGACAATTGTAATTTGAAGCCAGTCCCCTATCAACAAGAAAGTCCAGTGAAGTGGTGTGTGCCTGTGATCCCAGCTATATAGTAGGCCATAAGTAAAAGGATTATGATCCAAGGCTAATCGTAGGCAAGAGTATGGTGACACCCTACATGAAAACACACATACACACAGAGAAAAAAAAAGAATACACATTTGTGTAAAAATAACCTAAATCTGGAAAGTCAACCAAAATTTCCCAAAAATATCCAAAAGATTAGTTACCACTATTTTTTAGTGATGAACTCCACTTTAAAGATATAGTGTGCACTGAGTTATCCATGGCATAAAGATGTTACAAAAACTATTACTTGTTTCATCTTGTTCTCATAATTTAAACATTTTTGCATGTTTTCTAATGTACATACTAGTATAGTAATTGTCTACATCACTTATTTACAAAAAGTTTATGAACAAATCTGTGTTAGTGCAATGCATGGAAGCTGTATCTTACTAAGAGTAGGGCAATATCAAAATAACTTGGAGGCTACCTCCAAGTTATCCAACTGATGATAACTGAGTGGCCAACCCAGCTTCCCAATTTCTCATCACTGCTGTCAATTTTTAAAGAAAATGGAAATCCCATTCTTCCTAGGTGTCCTTTCCTTCTAGCCTTGCATGTTTCTCCCCACAGTGAGCACCCTGGCACCCCTGAAAACACGGCACTAAGTCTGAGAATTTAACAGCATAATAGCATTAGAACTTCTGAGTTTCTACAAACATATAGGAGACAAAGGGACCAGGAAGTAAAATTCTTCCAAATTAATATACCAGAAAGAATAAACGTGAGAGTGAAGCCAGGAAATCCTCTAAAGCAAATCAACTCCAAGACTATGGTGGGTAAATGAGGAGAGAGAGATTGTACAATAAAAGGCGTGGTGCAATCAGGAGAGGTGTTCTGATTTGTAGTGAGCAGAGATTGCTCGAACCTACCCTGTTGTTACCTCGTATTATTGGAAATATGTTAACACAATGTGATGAATAATTGTAAAACAAACTACATTACAATGCTGCAATCTTATCTACTCATCTCTGCTTTATTCATGGCTGGAATATGAAAAATGAATTGCATTATACATGCATGGTTTTCATCTTACCCCTCTGTGGCTCTTTAATCACATAACAATTGTCTTGTTAATGAATCTAAAAGCTATTAATATTGGCTTCCCTTAGGCCAGGGCTGTGCTTTTGGATGTATGGGCCTTTCTTCTCCTCTTGGCAGACAGCTGGTCCCCTTGGGCTTGGTCCTTCTTCCCCAATTCCAAGAGGAACAACTCCAGTGGGAGAGGATGCAAAATGATACATTTGTCCAGTCTCTCTAAGTTCCAGCTTTAAACTGGGTCTTTCACTATTATTGACAGTAACTATTTTCAGAGGAAATTGAAAAGTTATTCCTGACACTCTGAGGTGTTCATGTTTATTTCCTGGGATTGTGAACTTTACAACCTAAGTGGTTCTTAATCTAAGTTTTTGGACCACAGAGAAAATTCTAAGAGTTTTGATGACTGAGATAGAGAATAATGGCCATTTAGGTGAAGAAAATCACCAAAGTTGTAATATTTTACCATGCTTCTAAAGAATTTATGAAAATAATATTTTGATTCATATCTTAATACATCAAGGACTGCAGGCTGCCAAATCTTTTATTACAGACTCTTAGTCAACTCAGCTCCAGATTTTGGGGACCGTCATTATATCTATGGTGATTTCTGCCTTTACCTAACAGAGAAACAAGATCCCTGACCTTTCATATCTATCAATATCGTCTTCACACCTCAAAGCCCAGAGGCACGAGGTATATATGCCCGCTCTTTAACGATGATAACAATCCTAAACTCTAGAATGTCTGATAATAGTTTTCTTAGAGGTCTCTTGTAGTCTTAGAAAGAGGTAAGACTTACTTTATCCAGGAAAATAAATATCAACTATCCATCTTTATAAGAAACTAACAATGAGCTAATAATGAATTACATATATTTTACCTGTTCTAACAATTCCTATCCCTTTTTTCTTACATATTTTATTTTTTCCTTCTAAAGGAAACACACACCTAAGCAATTCATGGGATTTGAATCCATTTCTTTCATCAAAAAATATGATTCAAATTTCATTACAACTTTGCGGGATAGATTTATGAAACTAGATACTGACCAAAGACTGAAGATGAATTTCACAACTCTTTCCTCTTTTACTTTTTTAAACAAAACTGGCTGTGGAGGAAGACTTAGTTAAGCATATTTGTCATATTTTCATTCCCCTGTACTTCTTAAACAGGTAGATAGGAATATACCAGAACATCTCAGACTTCACTGGACCCAGAGGAAACAGAAAAAAATAAAGCTTGATGCACAAATCACAGACTGAGTCTGTACAACTTCTCACATCTGACAACCAAAATCTTAAAGTTTTAATGTGCATAAATGAAGAGAAACTATTTTTTTTTTGCAAATCAAAATATGTTTCTTGGAGTCTACTGTGAGTACCATTTGACATACCTGTGAGGGGCAGAGAATTTGACATTGGGACAGAGTGACAACCATATGGCAGACAAACACAGATTGCTAATGTTTATTAAAAACTGAATATGGAAAAGCAGGAAATTGAGAATGAATGGCAGGGCAGAGAAAATGAAGTTAACAACATTCTAACTTACTTGTAGTAACAGATTTCATAACCGGTCCGTACCCAGGAGGGTCTGCCAAGAAGAGCCTCCTTCACAGAATACAGGGTTGGCTGCATCCCTAAAAAAACCCAAAAAAGTAAAAAGTAAAAGCCAGGCTTAATCCATGAGGGAAAGAGAAAAGGGAAAGGGGCTATGGTGGCTGAATAATGATCCTCAAAGCTATCCAGGTCTTAATCCCTGGGAACTATAAATGTTAACTGTATATGGCCAGATAGGCTCTGCAGATGTGATTAAGTTTAGGATCTTGAGATGGGGAGATTATCCTGTGAGTCCTAAATGCAATCACAGATACCCTTGTAAGAGGGAGGTAAAGGGAGTTTTGACTCAAGAAGAAAAGCAAGGTAACCAAAGCAGAGAGATTTAAAGATGTTATTGGCTTTGAACATGGAAGAAGGAGCCGTGAGCCAAGGAATGGAAGGAATGTAGTTCTAGAAGCTGGAAAGGAAAAGAAATACTCTCCTAAAATGTCTAGAAGGGACACAGCCCTGTAGACACCTCAACTTTGGCCCAGTGAAACTGATTTAGATTTCTGAACCTCATCACTGTAAGAGAATAAATTTCACTTTTACTTTTTATGATGATGGGTTCTTGTGCTTGCTAGAGAGGTACTCTCCCACTTAAGTCACATCCCAGCCCTTTTTGATTTTAGTTATTTTTCAGGTATGGTCTCTTCTTCTGCTCAAGACTGGTCCCAGACTGTGATCCTCCTACCTATGCTTCCCACACAACTGGGATTACAGGCACGTGCCACATGCCCAGTCCCAAAGTTACCATGTTTTAAGATGCCTAGGTTGTGACAATTTGCGATGGTAGCTATACAAAGTGAACACAGGACTCAAGGTTCATATCTTCTCTTTCTATAGTAATGAGACTCTATTTAGTCAGTATAAAATAGAGGCAGTACCCTGTGCTTGGGCCTAGATATGAGGGAAAGCTTATTCTTTATTCAAAACCGCCAATAAATTAGTATATAAGCTAGGAATAACAACAATTTCCCATTCCCAGAAATGTTCTCAGTAAATACGGACTGTGGGTCAGTCTTTGTCTCTTGGTCAGTCTTTGTCTTTTCCAAAATGATCACAGGTGTTCAGGAGAATTTAAAACTTTTCCTGAGTTTTCTGAGAGTGTAAAGCAGTCCAGTTGGATCTTGTTTTTCTGTCTTATGACAAGCAAGCTAAGACATTTTCTCCTATGGGATTTAGGAGACGGAGCGCAGACATAAACGAGCATGCTCACCAACCTCAAAGTTCAAGGTAGAGAGAAGGAATCAGAAAATACGGGAATGTTACATGCACTGTTAACATTCCATTTCAGAGTGAGAAGTCCCAGCTTCTCTTGCACAGCAGCACTATGCCTTGGGTTGGTGACTCACTCTCTTGCCACACTGGCAATCAAGATGTGTCACTCCAACTTCAACCCCTCTGGGAAACCAAGAAAGGCTTCTGATAACAATACAAAAAACACATTCGAGAAGCAATTACCGTTCTTGGTATTTTCCCAAAAGCTCCTAATCTCCAAGAGCTCATACCATAATTGAACTGGCTGTTGGGCTTCTCACAGTTGATGACGTTGAAGCGGTAAGGGATTGCAGCCCTCGTACCGCTCACCTTGAAGTAGAACCACTGCTGGTGCTGAGAGCTATTCACATCAGCATTGACCAACAAGTCGTACTCAAACCTGCAAAGTCAAAAGCAAGATTGAAGAGTTGTCTGGAAAATCTTTAAAGTAAATGAGAATCCATGTCTCAAGTTCTGGATGATAGATCTAAGACTCAGAACCTCAGTTGGCTGCTAAATGATACTCATTGTATTTATGTCACTATATTGGGCACTTGCCTTGTACATTTGGGGGCTCTTGATATTGGAAACATCACTTAGACAACTCTAGCATGTCTTTCCACTGAACTATAGTGAAATTTCTATCCATGTAGGAAAATAAAGTTTGCTGTACAAAAAATTCAGTCACAGCAGGTTTGGATATAACTTTACTATTTGATGCTCGATACTACTTTTGATCCTCAGTTGGCTCACATGGAATATGGAAAAGGTGTCTCCACTTGCATCGTTCTTTGTAAAAACTAAACAATATAATGGATATAAATCCATTACAGTGTATATTCATATGAATCAGAGCAACAAATATAAATTAAGTCTACCAATGCTGAGGTAGCTTTTGTATTCTTTTGCATTTTGGTTGGATAACTTACATGTAATAGAGGGCACAAGTCTTAAGTATGAATCTCAACAAATATGTTTGTATCTGGGTGCAGCTGTATGACCACTATCCTGATATAGGACAATCCCAGCATCCTAGGAGGTCTTGATTGTCCCCTCTTAGTCACTATTTCCAAAGGTAATTAATTTTCTTAGCTCTAGCAGTAGAATTTGCAATGTGGCTTGACTTAAACCTTCTCATCAGGAAATTTCACTTTTTAAAAAATGTTTGTCCCACCTTCTTGGTATTCTTTTGGGGTTGTTCTTTTAAAAGGGGTAATGTTTTAGGGGTTTTTTTTCCTCGAATCCATGCCTATATTCCCACTCAAGATCCCTAACAAATAACATTTATAGTGAGATTCATAGTAGGGTAGAGTTTGGTGTAAATGTATGTGAACACTGAGCTATAGGGACCACACAAACCACCAAGCTCACCATTCATTCAATGAAGCATTACTCACTGAATAACACTAGGTAAGAAAAATTCTGGAAAGTCTGTGACCTTTAAACTATACACTATTCCCATAGTACTTTTTCAAAAGTTAGCCTAAAAATTCCTTCCCCTAAGTAGGTTTGTTTTCTGTCATTTGATTCTGTTATTCTGACCACAACTTACTAGTTTAGGATTCTACTCTCTGCTCAAAAGCAAATACAGAAGAAAACAGACCTGATCCAGGCCAACAATTTAGGTACATACTGAACTGAAAACTGGCTAGCTAGGAGACTCCTAATCAAGAATAGCCTCATGGATCCTTTGAATTTAAAGAGAAGGAATAATGAAAACTGGAGCCATAGGAAGAAGTAAAAATTGAGCTGACAACAGCAAGAGAAGTGGGCTGTAAAGGAATCTTAATTTGTCTTTGCCTGCTTCAGCCCAAGTCAATTAATGTGCCTCTGTCTTACAAGTTGGGCTTTCTTCAAGTATTTCATGTTAAAAAATTTTTTAAAGGCTCACCTTTTGCCTTCTCCAAAAAAGACAAACTTCAAAAATTACTCCTTAAGTGGATATAAAATAAATCTGAGATATACTAAGTTCTGAGTTATAGTTATGGCATACATGCATCTCTAAATAAGAGCTTATGTTGACAGAGTGATCACCAGGTTCCAGACACCATTCTAAAAGCTTTGGTATATCATTAAACTCTCATAAATTTCCTATGAAGTAGTTGCTGTTATTATCCATATTTTACAGGTGAAAAAGTTAAAGACATGGAGCGAGTTAGGCAACTTGCTTAAAAAGTCTCCTGGATGGAAAGAGGTTGAAGTTGCCCTGGTAGTCTCCAGTGTCTGTGACCACTACACCATTAAACATCCCAGACTGTGGTTTTTCAGAAGTTTAGCTATCAAAGATGGATTATATACTTTTCCTTTTGGCATATGAGAAACATAGTCCACTCTGTTATGGTAGAAGTTTTATACAACTTCATGAGAACATGAAAAAAGATTATTTTCACTGCCACTGAAAAAAGATTATTGTCTTCCTTTTCATTTCTGCATTCCTAGCCTTTGCTTCCCTTGAAATCCTTTCCTTGGGCTTATCAAAGGTTCCAGGGAATCCTGGAAGAGCCCATAATTGTTTCCACTTAAAAACACAGCTATGGGGAAAACAGACATGGAGAGGTACAGAAATAAAGAATATCATGTGCCTTTCCATGCCAACAGATCTATACTTGGCATCAGTGGAAGAATAAATACCCTCTGCTTTCACATTAAAATATGGATCCATTATTTGAGACATAAGGCATGCTTATGACTCTAGAGAACAGTTCACCTTGCTATGACATCAGCCAGGGAGTTCCCTAGTAGTGTTGACAAATGTTTAACCAATGACACTCAGAGTGGAAAAACATTCATTTGTAGTGTTTGCCAATGATCATGGTATAAATATACTCACCATGACTGATTTCAAACTGCCCACGTAAGGTCACTGAACATAGAATTGGGAAGAGATTGTCACAATCTGCTCTCCTGTGCTGCCAGGAGCTACCCCCTGTGTTTTCCTCACCCCTCTGTGGTTTTCCTTACTTACTCACGCACTTGGATGGCTTTGCGAAGATTTCCTGACTCAAATTTGGAGAAGAACCTTAAACTATCAGAAGCAGTATCTTGCAAAGGCCTATAACAAAACGGAGAAAATATGAACATAGCTGCTTGCTATGCTTGGACACAATTTGACATTTCTTAAAGATAAGTTTTCTCTTATAGTTCTCAAATCTGAGTAGTCACCATGCTGTTTTTAGGAGTGTGAATGGATTGCTAACATAAGACACTCCTATGCTTATGCCAGTTAATGGAATTCTCCATACCTCCCATTCCATGGATGTTCAAGACCACCTACCAAGGCTCATCTAAACTGAAGACAACTTTATTTATAACGTTGGTTGGCTGGATGAGTCTCTGGACATCCTCAAATATCTTGATCCTGGTAAGGAAAATTGCAAACATTAAAGTGTTGTCCCTCAATCTCTATCTCACTCATCCTATGATGTCCTAGGATGGGCCTTGGGAGCCATGAGAGAAATAGGAAAGAAGAGAGAAGCTTAACAACGTCCCAATATCAGGCTCAAGGGGAGTAAACACTGCTGCCTTCCTTCCTTCTCTTCTTTATTAACCAATAAAATGACAGTAGGAACAGAGACAGCAGGAGATTCTTAGCTTTTGGAAAGGTTTGTCATGAGCACTTTCTTGCTGTATGAATAAAATATTCCTTTGCATTGAGGTTATTTTGAGGAGAACTTCGGACAATTGAGTATTTGCATCATGGAAGTTTGGTAGAATCCAATAAACTTTTGTACTCATGTACAATTTGCATTCCTTGGACTCTGTCTGAGAAAGAACAGAATCTGGGAAATTAAAGTAAGAGGGAGGAGGGAGCTCAGGGGGTCATTCAATTCCCTCATTGCATTTCCAATCTAGTTTATTGGCATGGGGTGGGAAGGATGAGAGTGAGAAGGACACAAAGCCTGGACTGAAAGGGCAGATGCCCTGTGCAGGGATGAGATACTGCTGGTCCAGCTCTTGTGATACATTTCTCAGGAACCTAACCAAGTCAGATAATGTGCAGAGAATAAAGTCAGAGAAGTCAGCTAAGAGCTCAACTGAGAGAAGTTCTTGGGACCTACCATCAAGAGAACAATTTGCTGATGATGTGAAATATAAGTTAATGGAACTTTCTGGTCCACAAACTTAGATCCAGTTATGTTTTGTCAGGGGAAATTTTTTTTTTTTTGCCTTTATCAGGTCCAGTTTAATCTGCTGAGTCAAAGACAAAGTCCTCTTTCCTATATTCTTGGAATAATCTATCACTCAGTATTTCTGCCTGGAAAAAAATGTGTTTCTTTCCATCCCTTTCTCAATGATGTAACAAAACAGTCTTCAAACCAAGCCAGGATCTGTAAGACAGAGGCTGTGGAATACAGATACATTGCCCCCTCTTTATTCAAGAAATAAGATGCCAATTCGCAGTAAATAGGGAAAGAGAGCCCAAATTATTAGTTCTTAGGTTTTCTTAAAAAAAAAACCTTCCTTTTAGGAAAGTTTGCAGTATTGTGCTTTGCAATGGACATAAAGCAAGAGGTTGTACTAGAAAAATTGGAGGAATTCTTTGTCGGGAAATACATGCCTACCACTTCCCATACTTGAGTCTGAAATGTCTTAGCAGGGAGATGAGATTGTATGTTTGCTAAAAAGTTTCCCACCTGACTAATACTACCTTCTGACAGATAGCAGAACTGTCTGTACAAACCATTCTACCTTAAAAGTATTAGAGAAGAAAACTATATAGCTCACAAGTCAATAGTATCATTACCGTTGTACTCCCCATTTGCGCTCCAACATAGACTGGGCAGAAGGAGGTGGACAGTGTCCCCAGAGATCAGGAAATGCCATCATCTTGAAGTCTGCCACAGATCTGGTTCTTCTGGCTTTGGCCATATAAAGGTAAGGATCATGGAATGGGATACACTTGGGATGTGTATGCAGAAGCTTATTTATGAAGTCAACAGTTTCTCTAGGCTTGGTAGAATTGGAAAAAGAGGCACTCATTCTTGGGCAAGAAATTTCCTCTATGTCCCAAGCATCCTCTCCCAGGGAAGTGTGAACGTCAGGAATATCATTTCCAGAAGAGCCTATCCCAAGGACATTGGTTTGCACATTTATGTATGAGTTCATTTCAGGTCCTTTCTTGGAGTATAGAGGCACAGTGGACCTCCCTGTTTTCACCCTGTCCAGAATGGAAGTCTGGACTGGGTCTTCTCTTTCATGCTCCCAGGAGCTTTGGTCCTTATTGAAGCAACGCTGCCTTGGGGAGGCAGTTGGAATGTCGTAGTGATTGACATACTGAGTGTCTTCCAAGTTCAAATCATCTCCAAACTTGGACTCCAGTTCCTTCAGGTTCAAAAGCAGGAAAGAGTATGTCAGTGTTTCTTTCCAGGTAGAGAACAGAATTTGGTCCCTATCTGTACTCTCTGGATACAAAGCTAAGCATAAATCCTATGAATTGGGGAGTTTTGTCTAGAGTCAGCCAAGAAAGACTAACCTTCAGAACTGTACAAACTCATATTTTGGAAAGATCTTTGGACAATTATATACATGTGAATGCCTTCTGCAAATCCCAACTGGCTAAACAACTTCATTTACAGGGGCCTCACTGAAACCCAAAGTGGAGCCTCTTTTACTGTGACCCAAAGCTATGCTATTTATTTGAGGACAATCCTGATTATTTGGGGGAAAAAAAAAGTCTTCCTTACACTGAACTGAAATTTCCTTCACTGAAACTTTTATCACTGATCCATTTCTACTTTCTACCAAGAAATAGAATATATTAATTCCTTTCTACATGTGACTGGACATTCCCTTTGAGGTGGCCATATTCATAATTTATTAAGGCCATAAGAAAATACTAGAGATCAAAAAGCAGGTCTAAATTCATGATGGCAGCAGCAGCAACTAGGAATTCTATTAACATCACTAGGTCTAAGACACCCGTTCTGTGCCTACTGATAAAGAAAACCTAAGACAGGTGCTATGGTACACACCTATTGTCCCAACTACTTGAGAGGTGGAGGCAGGAGGATAATGAGTTGGAGGCCAGCCTGAGCAAAGTTAGTGAGACTTTATCTCAAAACCAAAATAAAAACAAAAGGCCTGGGAGCGCAGCTCAAGTGGTACAGCACTTACCTAGCAAGCACTAGGCCCTAGGTTCAATTCCCAAGAAGGGAGGAAAGGAGGGGAAGGAAGAGAACAGAAGTGGAGAAGAGAGGGCAGGGGAAGGGGAGAAGAAGGGAGAGGGGAAGGGGAGAAGAAAGGATGGGAGAGGAGGGAGAGGAAGGAAATTCTAAACTCAGGATGACTACCTTTAGAACTCCATCTAGCATGGCTTTCCTACTTTGGAAAGAGAACAATTAAATCATCAAGAATTTTTACTTACTTTTTAAGTGCATGGGACCAAAGCACCTTGTCCACCTGCCAATAGACAGTGATGTGGCAGACTGCAGAACTGTTCCATGCATCCTACCTGGGACACCTTTTTCACATTTTTGCTTAATCCCAGAAGCAGATTGCCAACAATGAACAATGCTTCCCATATGGACATCTCTATTTGGCTTCCCAGGTTCTACAAAGAACCCACCATGCCTCATGAAGAAGCAGAACACAGACTGTTTCCTACCTCAAAGCTGTAGGAGAGCTCAGGACACATCGCCTCATATTGCATCAGTTCTTCTTCAGGTCGGTCAGGACCAGGTTTTGAACTCAGCTTGTCCATATCAGTTTCCAAGTCATCATCCTACAATGGAGTATTCAATGATCGGGTTAGGACCACAAAGCCCACCCTCAAAGGCACCACAGCAAGATACATATGTGGTTCTTCAGAAACCTAAGACATGGTTTCTTTGCCCTCAGACTACAATGTTAGCCCAGCTGGTAAAAAATTTAATACACTGGATTATATTTTTTAAATAACATTTTCACAGCATTTATGTCAGTATTTATCAGATCTCTTCAGAAATAAGTAGCATATAAAATAAAATAGACAATATAAATAAGACATGATATAAAATATCTTTATTTCATTCACCACTGTCATCAACACCATTGTAATTATCACCACTTTCACCTCTCTGCTTTTAGCTTCTTTACTTATTCATAAACATCCAGTGAGCCTCATCCATGAGCAAGTACCCATCTACCTTTGAAGAGTCAGTGATAATGAAACCAAGGCCCATGCTCCTGTAGAAGTTACTTTCTAGTAAGAGAAAGAACACCACAAACAGTAAGATAAATAAGTGAAGAAAGTCCTTTCCAATGGTGACAAATGGCCTGGAAGTGAGAAAGAAGGTGATACAATTGTAGCTGAAACTGGCATATAGGAAGCTGTTTGGATTGAATGACCTGAGACTAAGGTAGCATTAGTCTTAACTGAGAAGTAAGATACAAAAAACAACTATGCAAAGAAAGGAATTCTATCAGAAGGACCAAGTTAAATTTGCTTACAGAAAGAAAGGTGGCTGAGAAGGAGACTAAGTGGAAAGAAGAAAAACAGAGGGGATGAACCAATTTAGGTTATAAAACATATATATGGAAATGTTACAATGAAACATCCAGTATAGCTGTCTTAAACAAGCAAAAATGTCTTGTTTTCAAAAACGGAGAACAGGAAGGTAAATTGGGTCTAAAACCCTGTGGGGTTTGGTACCAGTGGGAGGGGGTAGGACATAAGGAGAGGGTATAGGAGTGTGAATGTAGTGGGAATATTATGTACTCAGGTATGAAAATGGAAAAATGAAACCTGTTGAAACTATTCCAGGAATGGGGGGAGGGGGGATAAAGGAGAATGATGGAGGGGGTGAATTCAACTATGATACATTGTAAGAACTTTTGTAGATGTCACAATGTACCCCCAGTATAATAATAATATGATAATAAAAAAGAAAGAAGGTGTGTGAAGAACAGAAAATAAGAGGAAGAGTATGGAAATGAGATTTGAGAGGAGGCAGCAGAGGAATTACATCATCCTCATACAGTTCCTGGGAACAGTTTGTATTCTCCTGCGGCACCTTCATCTCCTTGTACCTTTAAAAGTTTACCAAGGACCACCAGGCTTTTCTTTATTGGGTTAAATCATTTGACTCTCTTTATTTTTTTTCTAGATCATCATTGTATAATAATTTAATGGTGACAGTGACTTTTGAACACTCGTATAACTTTCAAGGTTTATGGAATCTTATAGAGAAAAGAAACCCAGAATCAAATGGTCCTTTCTCTTTATCTTCCCATATTCCTTAATAAAATGGGGAAGCAAAATCTACCATATGTTTTAGAAGTATATTCAGTTAGTTGAGGAAAAACCTTAACCTTAAGTCCTGAAGGCCTAAATCAAATGTATAAAGTAAATGCTTTCTCTCAGATCCGGGAGAAATGAGGAAATGCAGTATTCCATCCACCTTACAGAATTTTCCTCCATGCTTCAAATTAAAAGAAAAGTACATCCCATGAATTTGACTTAATGCTATTTTCAGGTACAGTGCACATCAGGCCCACACTTCATAGCCACCACTCTCAAACTTTTCAGCTTCATCTTTCAGTTCCTGTTTGCCTCCACCAAGGCCCAGAGTGGTCCCAATTAAAACACATTGGCCAGACATTGGGAAGAGTGTCCCTACCAGTGAATAAGGCTGTGCTCCAACTGGTGGGTCTGGAGTGAAAAGTGTCATGTAACTCATGAGCTAGAGCCTAACTCATAGCTAGGTGACCCACTTAGCATTAAAGCAGAGAATAACAAACTATGGTCCACTGCTTGTTTTTATAAATAAAATTTTATTGGAACACAGTCATACCCATTCATGTCCATAGCTGCCTTCTTGGTGCAACAACAAAGCAGAGTTGTTGTGACAGAGATTGTTTCTATTCTTCAAAGATCTGGAACTTGGTCTCCATTATCTCCAGGCACTTGTTGGGTTCTCACTGCCTCGTACATTTCTTATATGGACCATTTATACTTATCTAGGGATGGACCTGCTTCTGTGTTCTCAAGGCAACCCAGATGATCTTCCACCATCTAGAACTTTGAAACCCCCCTCACCTAAACTAGATCAGGCCTTCTGGCCCTTGCTCCTTAGATCAGGCCTCTTGGATTCTGCTTTCTTCCTGCCTCAGACTCGAGTTCAAGTCTAAGGTGCTGATCTGAACTTTAAAAGGGACAATGCTCAATTTTGCAATATTGTGAACTCTTTTAAGATAAGCATGATGTTTCATTTGTTTCTATCCTATTAGTATCCCCAAGAACTCAGCATGCTGCACATGGACCATACCCAAAAAATCACCTGAAAGGAAGAAAAAATTTTAAAAAAAGGAAACAAAGAAAAAATTTTTAAAGGAGATAATTAAAGAAAAGAGCAGAAAGAAAGGAGAACTTGAATGCACTCTGTGCATCCCCCTCTTACTTTAGCTTTGTTTTGTTGGTACTGGGGTTTGAACTTAGGGTCTTGTACTTGCTAAAAGGGCTTTATCCCTTGAGTCATGCTCTATAGCCTCCCTCTTCTTCAGTTTATCCAAATCTAATGTCTGTGTGCATGAAGTAAACACCTGGCCAACATCCTGTATTTATTTTTTTATGAGTTTCTCTTTTCTTATATCGACCTTGACAGTTTCCAATCAAATCCAAGCACCTAACATTCTCCCCAAAGAACCTTTACATATAAAAAGTTCCTTTTAATCATACTTTCTAAGAGGTTGGTCCCAATTACCAGGTGAGATTTTCAAATGAGAATGGCACAAGTTCAAGGCCTGGGCCAGTTCTGTGAATAGAATAAAAAAAAATGCCTGGCTTCTTGTCAGGCATTTTTGCTGGAAGAGCAATTCCTTTGCTCTTGTCGTACCCCTGACTCAAGCCCTGATGCTAAAGCTGCCCCTTATCTCTACAACTCAGTCTCATATAGACTTCTCATCTTCTCTTTGACTTAAAGGCTTTGATGAATAGTTTCCAGGCCCTTGACAATTTGTCTTGTGCATCTTTTCCAGCTGGGAAACCTTGTTTAGGTTCCACTCCATCCTAAGGAGAGAATCAGAAAACCCTGCCTCCCAAGCAGTGTGGAATAAGGCATTGTTGTACAACTTGTCCCCTCTGCATGAGATACAAGAGGCAACTGATCCTGCATCAGACCCTTAGCTATTGAAGAGCAAGCAAGAAGGGAAGGGAAGCTGGCATTGATGAGTGACTGCAGTAGTCCTGTATTATTCAAATAATTCCACACGTACTGCATAGGCCTGTGCCGCCAAGCCTCAGCAAAGAACCAATTTGATACTGGGGACTTCAGAAATGATTCTATTTATCAACAAAACCCTGAGAACACCAGACTGTTGATAGCAGTCTAAGCCCAGAGATATGGCTAAGAGATAGTCATCCCTAAATGTCTGCCACTACCATCAGCCAGGTGAGTGATTATCATGATAGAGAACTCAAAAGTCTCTTTCCCGCTAGATAGGGAGGGAGGGAGAAAGGAAGGAAGAGAGAGGGAGAGACTATTTAAATTCAGGTTTCATCCTCAGTAATGTCATAAAAGGTAGCATTTACTTCTGAGTCTTATTCTACAGATGACAAAATTAATGAACTCTAACTTGTAGAAACTTGTCCAAATCCTTGTGCAGTGACAGAAATGAAGACAGAATTATGTCTCATAGATAAATTGTCATTATTTAAGGGCAGTGGTTTTCAAGTAAGAGTGATTTTGGCAGTTCCTGGAGACATATTTGGCTCATGTCTGAGGAGCATAGGGTTAGATGCTATCAGTATCTACTAAGTTAGGTCTACGATGCTGCTGCACAATCCTACAATGCACAGAACAGCCCCCAACAAACAAGAAGCATCCAGTCAGAACACCAGTAGTGAGAATACCCATCGCAGAAAAGCAATCAGAAAACTATGTCCCACTGTCTGCTTCACTAGAACATAACTGTACCCATTCGTCCATGTAGTGTCAGTAGCTACTTTTGTGCTACAATGAGAATTTGAGTAGTTGTGACAAAGACCGGTTAGATACACAAAGCCTGAAATTATTATTATCTGATCTTTTATAGAAAGTTTGCTGGCCTCCACTTTATAGCATAAGCTATTACGGGGTAGGAACCAAGAAATATCACTTCCTTGTTGGCCAGGTTGCATACTTTGGAAAAATAATTCACAAGAACATAAATGGGATTGTACAATGCAGCCACCCTGTATAGAGTAGGCAAAGAAGAAGAGTGACTCGTGAAGAGAGGTGACATACAGTGGAGAGTTTCCTAGAAAATCTTTCCATTCTATCAGTGCACTTATTAAATACACTAACCCTAAGCATTAAGTGTATACACAAAGTTCATCCTGACGAAACGTTAGTATTCTAACAAGCAATAGCTCTGACTTTACAATGAGACAATGAACTTATAACTACCAAGATAGGAAATCAATTAACAGCAGCTGTCATTTTTCAAGCATCACTATCACTGAGGTGGCAGTACTAAACTAAGTCCTTAAAATTTACACTGAGCTTCTGCAAACAGAAGCTTCTTCCTCTGCATGGTGTGAAGATGGAGATCATTACAAGGGCTGGTGTACCTACTTCCTCTTTCACTTCATCAGAATCTGAGTCTTTGTCCACCTCCTCATCACCATCATCTTCAAAATCCTCTGGGTGGGAAAAAAAGGTGATATGGTTGAGACTTCTCACACAGTGGCTGGCACTGCTCACAAATAAGGGATCGGTTATTAAGTATGTACACAGTATCTAACACTCTCAGTATATACAAGTGGTACATATGTGGGGACACATATCATGAAGTGGAAATTGTGCTCCCACACTGAATTCAAAAGGATTGAAAAATAAAATGACACGCAAAATCCACTCCAGTTTTTCTCCCCCTCAATTTGGAAGTATTTATGCAACAATGTTGCCAAAGAGATTGCACACATTCAAAATTTGTTATAATCCTAGATACTACTTTGATTGAATCCTAATTTTTAAATGAAGGAATTTATTTAAAACAAAAGTTATCCAGTGTCTTTAGAAAGCATCCGGTGCCATTGTGGCAAAATTACACCTGCAGAAAATCCATTCAATAGTAGGAAGAGGGGGTTAAAAAGCACCAGAATGTTTTGACTATAAGATTTTCCTAGAGATTAAATAATCATACTTTCAGAGGCTCTAAATAAGTAGAATGGGGTTTTACATAGCATGAGTTTTACTTCAATTTCATCCTTTGGGTAAATTAATTCCACTACCAGTCAGTACAGTAATGAGACTCAATCACAGAATTATAGATAATTTTTTTCCTTAATTAGATGACTGTACAGCCATTCAATAGCTCCCAGGCAAAGTGGCAACAGTTGATAATTAAGGACAAAACAAGTGAGCTTGGTGTTGGTTCACCCTGCTTATGAAAAATACTGCTTTTTCGTACATGTCTACAATGAGATTATTAGACAATCACAGTTGACTGGTTAACTTTTACTCTTATTCCTCTGACATATTACAAAATGCAAAAAGCTTATAGCTACCTACTTCCTTTACCTTCAGTGACAGCAGGTAGAGGTTCAGAGGTGACGCTCCCAGGGACCATGAAGGAATAAGCACTGTTGACTGTGACCAGGGGAAGTGGACTCTTAGGGTAGCATTGCCTGAGGATCTGAAGAACAGCAGAGATGATGGGCTCCATGTTCTTGTTGTCCAGACAGTTCTGAGCAAAGAGAAGATTGTAAAAGACACTGACACCGTGTTCAGACACTCACTGTAGCATCATTTCAGGTAATGAGTACCACACAGCCTAAGTAGACAGCAAACAGCCTTAATGTAAAATGTCTCACTCGAACATTCTAGAATTTTGTCTAATGTGGAATTTGCATTTTCAGTTCTCTCTCATTCCTCATATCATATTGGAATGAACTTAGTCTGAAAAGAGGCTTAAAATCATTTCAAGGAGTGGGACGCTAAGACAAGACAATGTCTAAAAAGAGGAGAAGACACCTTTCTTTAGCCACCTATGTGTCATTGGGACTTGCTGCCTAAATTAGGGAATGGGTAGCTGAATTGATGGAAGTCTTGCTTTTCTCTTTCAGCTGTTATCTGAAGAGTACAATATAAAGGGAAAAGATAAAATATGAACTCAGAAGGAAGACTAAATGAGTCCCTGTACCCAAATTAAATAGTATGTCTCATCTCAAAACCCAGAGTGTTTCCTTCTGGTACCTGCACAAAGCAAGGAAAAATTGGGTTTGCAGATGTAACATTTTGATACTGATGGAACATGACATGACCCTTCTTTTCAGACACTGTGAAAAACGTTAAGAACAAGTTTACTAAATTGAGACCAAGAGTTGGGTATAGGTCTGTCTCTCTTTGGCAAAAACACAACAATTTTCTTCAGTATCTTAGTAAATGCCTTGTGTACTGACTTGGTATACAAATATGACCAATGTGAACCTCCAGTTTGATATGGCTAAAGGGTGCAGAACACTCTGAGATCAACAAGCCATAGCAGTAGATATGGTAGGTAACAACACACCACAGGGCATATGAAAGTCTTTAGTGCTGCCCCACTGCAACACCTCCAGGTCCACATAACTCCATGGAGAAAACAAATCTGAATAAAAATTTAGCCAAGAATTCTAACTATCCAAATGACCCCAAGTATAAGTGAACCAACTCGCAAAACAGAAATGTCTTAATACAATCAAAAATGCCATTTCCCCCTCAGTGTGTTCAAATGGTACAAATCAGGTGTCTCAGAGCATATAGCAGGAAACACTCCCAGTAGAAAATGAATTCATTGAGGCTATTTCATCCCTTGGCCTGGTCAAATGGCTTCAAGTGTTTAATGAAAGGTTATTAATAGTGGAAAAGAGAAAACAGAGTGGAAGAGAAAGAGGAAAGTTGTTGAAGTAGTTGCTGGTCAGAAATAATGTTCTGAGCTCAATCTTGGGAAAAAATAGAGCTAGACCCAAGACAGGGAAACTCAGTCAAAAATGCCAGCATTTTGGAATCTAAGCCCATCTGCAATTGCCATCCATGACAATAAGTATGATACAGGGTTTTTTTTATCTTGTGTGGGCTGGCCTATGAAAGGTGAATGGAGATTGGGCACTGGTAGCTTATACCTATAATCCTCGCTATGTGGGAGTCTGAGATTGAGAGGATCATGGTTCCAGATCAGCCCAGGCAAAAGTTCATGGAAAAAAATTGGGTATGGTGGTTCATGCTTGTTATCCCAAAAAAACAGCTAGAGGGCTGGCTCAAGAGGTAGAGTGCCTGTCTAGCAAACATGAAGCCCAGTATCACCAAAAAAATAAAAATAAAAAAGCGAATGGATGGACAGACGCAAGTGAAATGTCCTAAGAGTTTGGGTTACACCATGAACTGAATTTGAGGGATGGAGGGAGTATTAAAATCTATAGAAACCAAGGCATTAGGGATAATGCAATAGTTGGTGTCTGCTATATCTAGGGGAAATACTTAGGTATTTAAAGATGATCCTTGGCTCCAAAGTAATAGAAATTCCTACATCTACTTGTCACCATGTGTCAAGTGCAAATTGATGGTGCAAGGGACTTTGAAGTTAGAAAATATCCTAGAAGGCCATTGCTACTCAGGGCAGAGTCCAAGTAATAATCCTCACTATAACAAAGTAAGACATTTTAGCAGAAAAGGATTTCAAAAGAGAAATCTGAACTCCAAGGTTTCCAGTGTTTCTAACTAGTCCATGCTATTGGGAATCTCTCCCCTGAACTCCTATAAACAGGCCAACACCTCCCCTTACCTTATCAACACTCCCTCCTTCCCCTTCTGCCCTCTGGTCACCTCCTCTCCAAGAAAGGTCCTTTAAAAGTATAAATCAGTTTAATGGAAGTAGAATTTCAGTTTTGCAAGATGAAATGGTTCTGGAGGTAGATGAGTGGTGGTGATGGTTGTACGAAAGTGTACTTAACACTACTAAACTGCACACTGAAAAACAATTAAGATACTGGTGTTTATGTCGTATCTTAGTATAATTTTAAATTTTCTTAATTTAAAATGAAGGCCATATATCATATCAGGCCACTCCCCTATTTCAAGCCTGATAAAGATAAAATCCATTTTTTTTTCATGGTCTAGAAAACTCTATGGAATCTGGCCTCCCCCCCCCCTTTCTCTCTCTCTCTCTCTCTCTCTCTCTCTCTCTCTCTCTCTCTCTCTATCTCTCTATCTCTCTCTCTCTGCCTCCCTCCCTCCCTCCTTCCCTTCCTCCCTTTCTCCCTCCTTCCTTCCCTCCTCCTTCTTGAGCATGCTTAAAACCTGCTAGAAATAAAACCCAAATTCCTTATTCCTTTACAGTTTCCTAGGAAGCTCTAAATGTTCTCTCTGCCTGGGTTCTCGTCTTCATCTCATGCCTTCCCCCTTATTCACTAGGTGTTGGGCACTCTAGCTTCTCTCTTTCTGGAACTTGATCTACCCCTACCTGAAGGTTTCTGCATTTTCTTATTTTTCTCTCTATAGAGAGAAAATTAACTTTCATGGTTCTTGTCCTTCAGGCCTCAGGTCAGGCTCTTCCTTTGGAATAGCCTCTCTCCCTCCTTTATTTCCAGTGTTTCTTTGAACATAGTTGGGTAAATTCTAAGGCCCAGAGCAGATATGGTGGAGTTATTTTGAAATGTCTTCCATGAAAATTCCTTTAGTTGAGACCTTCTGGTTTGTTCTTACCCAGGCCTTTCCTTCTACTCAAATCTCCAAAATGTCTCAGATTTCCCACTAGGTCTACACTACTTCTGTCTCCATCTGTGCCACAAGACTACCTCTTTCTACTTCTCTGAACAGTGTACATACTAAAAGATGTTCTCCTGGACTGACTCAAATAGGGCTTCCTTCTTGAAGCCTTCCTCTGATCCACCAAGATTAAGAAGGGCTCTCATCTTCATGGTTTTTCCAATCCCATTTTTACACCTCACTCACTGCCTATACTCCCATTATCCTAATCTGCTTTCCCCTATAGGAAGGTAGTTTCCTGACAAGGATGGGTCTTTTATCACCTTCATCTTTGAAGCATCTGTATATCCTTAGCCCCAACACCCTCCACAAAGCAGGACTCAGAAATCATTTACTGAGAATATATGATCTTGAGCCAAGTTGATTCCAAGTTTGTCACATCTCCTTTAGGATTTGGTCCTTCCTTTCATAGATCCACAATGCTAAACTCATCCTGTTGGACAAAGAAGGTACTGATGCATCAGGGCCTGGCCTGCTACTCTTTCCGGTAGCAGCTGTGCCTTTTTAAAGGACTTTATGCTAGTGGGTCTCAAAGTGAGGTGCCCAGACAGTAGCATCATCATCATCATCATCACCTGAGAACCTGTAAGAAATATGGAATTTGAGTTCCTCAAATTAGAAACTCAGGGGGTAAAGTCCAGCAATCTGTCTTAACCTCTGGGCGATTCTGATGCATGCTCAGAATTGAAAACCAGCAGGTTCAGCAACTTTTTAGGTCTCTTAAGCTGTTGTAGCTCTACAGAGGGTCCCTCTCTTTACCTGACTATTTCATCCAGGTGTGTTCCTTCCACCATTACCTATTTCTCCAAATTGATATCTATCTCATACTATTTCAGGACATTTCTGGAGAGTTATTTTTTCTTTTAACCTTAAATTGTCATCTTTCCTCTTTCTTCAACATTATAGTACATAATACCCTCATTGCACTATGACAACCTCAGTCCCTGAATGTTTAGGGGTTGCTTAGAGGATAGCACAGGGATGTGTGACTCAGGAAACAGGATGGTTCATTGTGAGAGAGAGGCTGTAAGCAGTGACCTTGGAAAAAAGGGCAAAGTCAAATATTATGGGCAAAGCCTATGGGAAGGATACAAAAATAGTTTTACCTCAGTCAATTTCATGCCCAGTAGGCTTGTAATTACATTACAAACATCAATAGAAATAGTATAGCAGGGTAGTTTTCAAAGTGTGATCCCCAGACCAGCAGCATCAATTGGGAACTTGTTAAACAGACAAACTCTCAGGCCTCCACAGACCTCTGGAGTCAGAAACTCTGACATGGGTGGTTCTCAGGGACCTCTGTTTCAGTGAGTCCTCCAGGAGGTTCTGATGCTTGCTCACCTTGGGGAATACCTAGTACCATGAGCAAAAGCAATGAAACCACCAAACTCAAAGTCTGCCTCCAATTCTTGCAAGCTTGGTGGACGTGAACAAATCACTCAACATTTTTGTGCCTCAGTCTCTTCATTTTTAAAATGGGGATAATTGAGTCTACCTCAAAAGGTTTTTAGAATTTCAAAACTGGAGTGTATGTAGACAGTGTGAAATTAGTCTTAGGCCATAGAAAAGGCTCCATACCCTTACTCTCCTCCCCACCTCCTCCTCCTTCTCTTCCTTCTCATACTCCTCTTTCGGTTACTTCATTGTCATAATTACAGTAGCAGCAGCAGCACCACCACCATCATCACAACAATACAGACTGAAATACCATTACCAGATCCCACCTGAGTTGGCCATCCAGTGACTCCCATGCCTTCGCTAGCAGAAGGGAGAGTAGGGGCTATGGGCAGCTCTAACTTCTGCACAGTTGCAAGGGCATCTGTGCCCAGTACTCAGCCCAGGTCTGGGAGACTCAACACTGGCTATGATTCTGCCAAGGGAGAATAATGGGTCACTGGTTTCTAAGCCAAAGCAATGTATCTTGCACCTGAAAGGACCATTTTCCAAATGTCAGACTTCACACATGAACTTGATAATGTCTCCTCTAGGAAAACACATTAAAGACTAAAGCACAAAGGGGAAGCAGTGAAAAGTGGGAAATTCAACCCTTTGAAGTTGTCAGTCATTGTGCACACTTCTCCATGTGACAGCCTTAGTGTTTACTCAACACTGTTGCACAGACCCCTCCTCGGCTGGATTTTTAATAATACCAACAGAAACTGCAACGTGAGCTGGAGGAACCTCGGTATAAAATACAGATTCTGCCTCCACTCTCATCTACTTTCTATTCTCTACGGCATTGGAGGCTGAGAACTTGTTATAAATTTGCTTAATTGAGCAGTTAAGGTCTCTACTGACCAGCTGAGGAATTACAACCCTGTGCACAAGCTTGCACCCTTCATGTGTCTGGGCTTCACTTGGTATTTTTCCACTGTATTCCTATCATAGATATGTACCTCCAGAGTCACCATCTTCATCTTCTATTGCCCTTTCAATTGTTTTCAACACAGAACAGAGAAATACCCAATAATGCAGAAGGCAAAGCAGTGGAGTAGACAGTTAAGAATGGGAGCTACTTTGCCATCAGCAGTACAGAGAGGCATTTCAAAAGACTGAGGAAGATTAGAGACATGTGAACCACAAGTTTACAGAGCATGGGGAAACTTGGGTAAATTCTAAGTACCACTTCATACAGAAAAATAGAATGTAAAATTCATCTTTTTCATGACTGAGAAGCTCTGAAAGCTGCAATGATAGAAACCTGGAGGTGACAGGAGATAGAAAATCAAATGCTGGTTTGCATCTGATTAGGATGGGGGGAGCCATGTTTTTAAAATAAGAAAAGTCTGCAGACACTGTGGTTGGAAAACAGCCCTCTCATTGGCTGCTTCATGTACCTCTGGATGCACTAGAGAAAAACTGGACGCTGTCCAGAGAAGAGCAATGAGTACAGAGACAGACAAATAGCAAGACAACAAGGAACATGGTGCACATGAAACAAGCAGATGATGGATATTTGAGATACTCACATCACCAAGTTCAAGTGGTGGTGTTTAAATCCACCTTGTCATGTGTAATTAAGGGATTTGTTATTTGGGTTGAAATCCAGGTGACCCTGGACCACATATCCCCCTGGGATGTAGCCGGAGCACGTGACATTCCCTTTGCCTAGGATGCTTTTCCCCTTAACATGGCATGACCTGCTCTTCAATAATTCAAGACTCAGTTCAGGTGCCTACTCAAAGAAGACTTGGTCTCTCTAAAAGATCACCTCCTCTCTTGCCCTACGGGAGTTACCACTACTTTACTGGACTCACAAAACAATATGAAGTATTTTCCACGTTGGATTCTTTGATTTTTAATGTCCATTCTCTGCTATTATGTCTGCCCCGTAAGACCAGGAATCTGTCATATTCACCACTGGATTCCCAGTACTAATTACTCCAATGACTGCTCACACTCAAAAAGCAGTTAAAATATGCAAAATGCTCTTCTGAGCATATGAACTTATTTAGTTCTCACAGCAGCCTACATGTTCTGTTTCACATTTAAGAAGCAACTGGATACTTAGAGAAGTTGGGTGGTGTCTCCAAAGTGCTGCAGCTGTAGGAGCCACAGCAGGGACTGAACACCAGTATCCTAATTCTGAAGTCCACACTCATAGCCCTTACACCATCCTGCACCTTCAGTAACATGCACTCAGTAAAGACATACTGAAAAGTGAATGAATGAGCACATGAATGAGTGAATAAATAAGCATTTGAACCCAGAACACCTGCCATAGTATATAACGAGAAATGTACTGAAATGTTTCCAGCTCTATTTGCCACAATTCCTGAGCTTCGGCCTTCAGGAATTATTCAGATTTCATCCTGAGGATGAAATCCCCAGGTTGACTACCTGAGTGATGGTGAAGAGCATCTCCAGGCCCTGGGCTGCCAGGAAGGCCTCCCTGCCAGACCGGAGGGTGGTGAGACGCTTGAGGCAGAGCAGAAGTCCCTGGCGGATCAGCATGTAGGTGTTCGCTGTGTCGTGGTTGTGCCAGTCCTGATGCAGCCTGAGCAAGCTGGTGACATAACCTCTGTTCACTGCCCTGCGGCTGTTAGACTCTGAAAACAAAGGGAAAAGATCATGTCTATCACCGGCTCTCCAGGGCACACCTGCTTGAGAACACCCTCGTGTGTCTCCTGCAATATACTTATTAATTATAATGGGAATAATAACTTCTCACTATATAAAACTGGTAGAGGTCACCTTAACCAAGTAATTGAAGTCCACATCACCAGTAATGGCATAGATAGTTGTAATGTATACCCTGATTCTTCTATGCCATTCCCACTCAAAATGCTTAACCTAAATAAAACCATGAGGAAACTCAGCAAACCCAAAATGAGGGACATGCTAGAAAATATCTGACCTACGTTCTTCACAAATGTCAAGATCATAAAAGGGGGGGAAAAAGACTGAGGAACGGGGGCAAAGGAGACTAAAAAGGCAAGTATCCATGTACAACACATAATTATAACTTAGATCCTGGGCCAAGAAAATGAGTTTTCCCTTTGCTCGAAAAAGCGAGAGCACACAAGGGAGGGGTGAGGATAGGTAAGACACCTAAAAAACTAGCTAGCATTTGTTGCCCTTAATGCAGAGAAACTAAAGCAGATACCTTAAAGCAACTGAGGCCAATAGGAAAAGGGGACCAGGAACTAGAGAAAAGGTTAGATTAAAAAGAACTAACCTAGAAGGTAATACCCACGCACAGGAAATCAATGTGAGTCAATGCCCTGTATAGCTATCCTTATCTCAACCAGCAAAACCCCTTGTTCCTTCCTATTATTGCTTATACTCTCTCTACAACAAAATTAGAGATAAGGGCAAAATAGTTTCTGCTGGGTATTGAGGGGGGGAGCAGGAGGGGGTGGAGTGGGTGGTAAGGGAGGGGGTGGGGGCAGGGGGGAGAAATAAACCAAGCCTTGTATGCACATATGAATAATAAAAGAAAAATGAAAAAAAAAAAAAGAAAAGGCATTAGTGAGGCAATGGATAAAATTTGAATAAGGTCTGTAGGTTAGCTAATGGTGTTGTATCAATGTTTATTTTCAGATTTTCCTAAACTGTGGTTATGTAAGAAAATATCCTTATTTTTAGGAAATTTACAAATGGAGTATGTGAATGTCTGCATGTTATTGTCAGGAAAAGAAAATAGTGTAGATTGAGAAGAGATGGGGAGAAAGGGGTTAAAGAGAAAGAGAGGGAGATTTCCACAAGATTCCTATTCTTTTCCCTGAATCTCAGTGGATCTAGGACTTTGTCATTTGGGTTAAGAAAACTCCAAGACCAGGTGAGGAAGGAGCAGACCAGTGAGAAATAATATCAGAAAGGCTGTCACATGCAGGAGATGTGCTAGGCGTTTTTCTCAGAGAAGAGAAGTCAGTTCATGGGCAAAGGCGTCATAAATATGTTGAATATAGTTGCTGCCGCAGACTTCATTTTTAGACCTGACCTAAGTTATTTGAAACTTTATCATATCTCATCACGTCTGGCCCAATGAAGTCATCCCCTCCATAGGTGGTGTTCACATATGGCCCACTTGTTCCTCAACCCACAAACTAACACATCTCGCAGCTGCCAGCCAGGATGACATCCCTGACAATCATCAGAGTGATGGAAATAAGCTCCCCTTGGTGTGTGTTCCTTTAAACTGATCCTCGTGGGAAAGTCTACAGGACAGTACCATAGACCTTAGCAAAGGCATGGTCCCTCATGTCCTCTCTCCCCTACCCACGGGTTGAACTTCCTGTTGCTTTCAGACTTCTCATCAGCACTTGTGGGCACACCTCTTCTCTCTGACTAATAAAATGTTTCTACTCTCTCTTGTGTTTTGTTGTGCTGCCTCCTCTGGATCTCACCTGACTAACATACTCAATTTAACCTTGTCCTTGTTGTGGCTTTCCTAGAGTGGCTGTCTGCGCTTATAACTACTCTTGCCAGAGAGCTCTCAAGACCAAATTAGAAAGAAATCACAATGGAGGAGTTTGGCCCAGATCAGGAAAGCAATTCCTCACAGAGAAGTCGGGTCAGCAAGAGGATGGACTCTGCAAGGCAGCACTTGATCCCGGCAGAGGTCACAAACCCACCCAGAAGGGCTCTTATGGCATTTCCTTGCATCTAATGGGGGAATTGTACCAGATCACTCTGGAGGCTTCCCTGAGCTCTTCAGCACCAGGATATCTCTGTGTAAGCTCTGTTTTCCTAGTTCAGACCTCCTATGAGAACCTATCTTACAGATAAATGTTTTCAAAATATGGTTTAAACTGTCTTTGAAGAAACACAGAGGCAAGACTAGTCAAAAATGCCTCTCTCGACAGTTAGTCTATGCTACTTTTCAGATTAACGTCCCTAGGCTTGAAGGTTGGTAGGTGCATATGGACAAGTCAGACCCACCCAGCAGATGTCTGGTCACCAGAACTCTTCTATAACAAGTTACATAGCAGGGCTCTGACCAGCTGAACCTCAGCCACAAAGGCTCAATTCATGCAGCTCTGTTCTGTCACTGCTATATTTCTCCATTACTCAAACCATTCACACTGGTTTATGAGCCAATATACGCTTCTGACCAAATGCGTGTGAGGGAGATTCCCTGAGCTGAAATCAGATAAGCAAAATTTCAGCTCAAAATCAGATTTTTCCCCCAAGATCATGAAAGTGCACAAAAGCACAAAAAATTACATGGTAATTCAATGCTTTACTCCGGAGGGGTTTTCTCATAATATTAATGGAACTTTCTCTTTCTCTTTCTCTCTCTCTCTCTCTCTCTCTCTTCTCTCTCTCTCTCATTTACTTATCAACATTTACTTATCAAGTTTTAAATTGTCAGGCATCAATAAGCCCCACTGAGATTTTTGACCCATTTGTGTTAGTTGACATTTTTTTCCTTTTTTATAATTTTTCATTCAACCATGACCCTGAAGTGAGAATGGTAAGCTTTGTGCACCCAGAGATGTGTTTGTGGAAGGCTTAAATCACCTTCATTACCTCCTTTAATGAATTATTCTTTAGTATCGAAAGTATTTCTTTCCTTGGCTGGTCCCAGCCACAAAGCTCTAGAGTTCTTTACTGCCTAAATGAGGTTCCACCCTATCTGATGTTTAAATATCTGATGTTTAAAAGAAAATTAGGGATTAAGTGGGAGGTATTAAAGGAAAAGCATTGCCTGCTGAAAAGATTCAAGCATGACAAATACAGTGCAGAGGGACCCTGCCCGCAGGGCAATCCTCGGTTGGGGAATTTTGTCCTTTATCTATTTTAAGGGTTTGAGACTGATAATACTTTATCCTAATGACCTTCATCCATTATTCTTTTTTTGGTAAAGAAAAGTGGGTAATGAAAAAAATCTTTAATTGTCTGAAAGAAAAATCCCTTATCAAATGCCAATGATTTTATTCATGATTTTCTGTTAATCCCCAACAAATTGTCATGTTTACTAACATCTGAAATAGCTAAGCCTCCTTCCTCCCCCTACCCTACATCAGTCATCTTTCTCTGAGAATGGCTTGGGAAGCTTCCCAAAAGCCAATACACATCTAACAGGCAACAAGGGGAGATGCATCAAAGCGAGGAAGAGCAAATGTGGAGAACGGCCAAAGAATGAATGAGGGTGACTGGGATCAGCAACTCAGAGGAGTTCTAAAAGATTCGAGAGGAAAACACAGCTTCTCAGAGCAGGGGAAATATTGAGGAGAAGATGTGAATTTCCAAATACTGTTCTGGGTGAGCTCAGAGGTTGGGAATGGAAAGGGGGATCCAGGTCCCCCCAACCCTCTTCAGACAAAGCCAGCTCCTCTTTAGCTTGGTTCTGTAAAGATTTTCTTAGAAAAAATCACAGTGTATTGTAGAATATGGAGGGAATAAAAACTATAGAAAAGTCTGACTAAGCAAATGGATTTATCAATACCCCTCCCCACAGTTAAGGATTTTCTGCTAGGATTTTCTTAGGAAAAAAATCCTATTGCACACATATATATGTACATACATATATTTAAATTAACATCTTTAAATTTCCTAGTAGACTGGTATCTCCTAAACTAATTGGAAGATGGGGATGGATGGATGGCCAGAGACAAGTTCTGAGGGCCTTTAATTTTAACACATCAACCCCAATACCTACCCCATCACAAAGGCACTCTCCCTACTTCCTGAGTGTTCCCTTGCTCCCTTGGTCACTGTCAGCCTGCAGCTAAAGGTCTTCTTTGGCCACTTTTCCTTTAGCAAATCCCTGAACAACAGAGAAATTTATCTTGTCCTCACCTGCAATTCACCTTTTATTTTCTAATTATCACTCCAGGTTAGGTCCTCCGAAGGCCTTACTTGTGACCAATTCTCAGTCTGAAATGTGGTCTAGTGATACCCTTGTTTTTATTCCAAGTATTTTTTTCACTGAAGTTCAAATGTTTTTCTTTAGTGCAGACCCCCCACTAGCACAGAGTTTTGTACTCAGGTGAAAAGAAAATAACTGGAAAGGAATATGTCAAGGTGTCAATCATCCTTAACTGTGGAGAGGGGTATTGATAAATCAATTTGCATAGTCAGACTGTTCTATAGTTTTTATTCCCTACATATTCTACAATACACTGTGATATTAAGGAGAGAAAATACATATATAACCCTCTGGTTGGAGTTACTAGTGGCCCACAGATGGATGGCCCCACCATGCTATTAATGCTTAAGAGCAGGGTGAGCAGTCCAGCAGGTGGCCACAGAAACCTACTCACCTTTTGTCTTACCTCATCTCTTTCAAAAGTGAATTACCTGCCTAGCCCCAGAAGGCATTGGAGAGCAGAACCATCTTTATAAAGATATTTATCTTCTAAATAGGAAACCCCAGAAACCTTTAAACTCAAAAGATTGAATTTCTCCCAAGGAATTTGGGATACCAGGACAGCTGGTAGTGAAAAATACTTAGTGTCTCTGATCATTATACCTGAAAATAGCCCCCTACTCTGCCTTCTTCTTTGGTAAAATTAAAGGACGTTGTAATCATTGTTCTTTATTTTCTCATACCTGGGATTGGGATCATTCCTTTTGGGGTGATATGATGATGCCAGCAGAG